ACACCGAAATCTCCACAATCGAAACCTAATTTCTTGAGGTGTACCGTAGATATAAAATACCTACGTACCACCCGAAGAACGTACCGAGATGACACCGAAATCTCCACAATCGAAACCTAATCCTGTAGCTGTAAACTACGTGACACGACTATGCATTTCCAAACTGTCCAAAATATGGGACAATTCAAGAATTAATTGGACCGTAGTCGTGGTTTACCCACCCATGCGCGGTCCAACTAACCTCGAACGGGAACTAAGCTTTACAACAAAAAATGTACGAAGTTAATTTCAATTAACTTCGTACATTACCGTGCATAATTTAACAACCGAATACAAATATAATTTCACAAAAACAATATATAAAGAAATTAAATTGATATTTTAAATAAATATAAAACAAATAAAATACCTTCTTCAATATGTCCTGAAGTGATCTGCAAGCTGAGAAAACAGAGAGAACGGAGAGAACGGAGAGAACGGAGAGAGAGAGGGGCAGAAGCAGAGGCAAAACTGATTTTTCAGTTTGCCTCTGCAATGGCTGAAATGAATCTGTTAAAGAAGATGGCTTTGCGCGACGAAGGGATAAATTCATCGCTCAAATAAATTAGTCGCGCAAAAGACAAATTCCGTCGCGCAAAATCCACTTCAGCGACGCGCAAAGACGTGCCGACATCACATCTTTGCGCGACGGATTTTCTCCGTCGTGCAAACTCCAGTAAAGCGACGCGCAAAGACGTGCCGCCATCACATCTTTGCGCGACGGATAAGTCATTCGTAGCGCAAAATTTCATCGCGCAAGTGTTCGAACGCGTCACGCAAATGCCCAGTTTGACACGCACGCAGCCACGATAGCCACCTTCCGCGACTAATACACCGTTTCGTCGCGCAAACTTGTGGCGCGAAACGTCTGGAACACTGTTTGTTTTCCCGCTATTTAGTTTGCGCGACAAGTATATTTTCCGTCGCGCAAAAATATTTCGCGCGACGAATATACTAGTCGCGATAGTCAAAAATTATAAAATTATTATCCGTCGAAGTTTGCGCGACGTATTGATTTTTTCGTCGCGCTAAACATCATAGTGCGACGAATATGTCTTCGTCGCGCAAACCTTTGTCGCGCAAACTAAAAAATGTAGTTGTGAAAATAGGGTAATTGTTCTCATTAAGCTTGACTGCATGAATGATATATTTGTCTTAGAGGTATTTGTTAAATGCCTATCCCACCAAGAACGAAGTGTTCCGGTGAAACCAGTTTCTAACAGAGGAACTATCTCAGACTGTCTTAGGTTATGGTTGGATATGTAACTATTGGCAACCATGGACATTTGTTGTAACTTATTTAAAATCTCTTGCTCAGATAATCCATCGATATTCCATTCGTATATTTTATCAGAAGACACAGAGAATTGGCTTTGGGTTCTTTATTCAAATTGGATATCTGGAGGTGTAGGCTTAGGATACCAATTTTTTGTAAGGCTTGTAGGGTTAACTGTGTTTCTTAAACGACTTAGCTTAAGGTTCTGGGACTCATGTAACTCTAAATTGTTAAAGGCTTTTTCAATCTTAGAAATATCACTAGTGTTGGACTCAACGCTGGAGGTTGGATCAAGAGACTCATCTTCAGAGGAATTAATCTTGAATTGTAAGACTTTTATTTATGAGGCTTCTCCTTTCTCAGGCTTTTGTTTGATCGGGGTTAACTCACTAAGCTTTTCTTCTATCTTTCTCAGAGTTGGACTTTTGTTTAAGCGTAGAATTAGGCTTTAATTCTTGGAAGTGGACTAAAGGTTTTTCTTGCTTTGGCTTAAGGGTAATTTCCTGGGGAATTAACTTATCGACTTTTGTCTCAATTTTGTCTAACTGTTTTCCTATGACTATTAGGCTTTGGTTGGTGTAATTATTCTGCTCAACTAATCTTTTATCGTTATCACTTGGGTCGGAGACTTTGTAGGGACTGTCAATGACTTTGGCATTCTTATGGTTGATTACTATTGTTTCTACCAGGGGGTGAGTAGAAATGACTTTGATGTGATCTTCTTTTTCCCATTTTTCTTGGGTTAAAGTTGTTAATTTTCTACTCATGTGGTGGCTTTCTACATAATCTAGATAGAAAATTTTGGACTTAGTAGCTTTCATGAAATTTTTCCAATCAGTGAAAATCAACTTTCTCTGATCTTTGGGGAGAGCTGCATGATAGTTGGCTTTTCTTACCGCATTTTCAGGGGCACAAAAATGATCATCTAACTTTGACCAACGGATCTTAAAAGGCTTTGTTAAAGTTCTTAATTGATTATCCACGACTCCAAAGGTGGAACCTTCAAAATCTGTCTGAGTAAGTGACTCAAGGGATTTGGGCTTTTCTTCGATGGGGGCTTTGCCGTAACAGGGTTGAGTGACTTGTGCTTTCTTTCTCAAGATTTCTAGCTTAAAATCTATTAAGGACTTTTCCATTTCTAGATCACGTTCTAAAGTAGAGGAAGACTCTGCTGAAGAATGTCTAGCTGGCTGGATACTTAAAAGATTGGCTTGGTGTAGGTAATTTCTCTAATTGGACGGTGGTCTTAACTGGCGGTTGAGCGCCAAAATTTATCTTAACTGTGCCATCTAGGTATTGTTGGATATAGTCTAAATTGTTTAGACTACGTTGAATGGGCATAGACGAACTTTCAGTTGTTAAGAACCAATCTGACGGTAACTTAACATCTAACCATTTAATACTTTGGGGAACATGGACATTGGCATGACTATTAATGCTTTGGATTAAAAGTTATATATATATATATATATATATACATTTCCAATGTAGTCTCTTGAGTGATCAATAAAGCCAAGTCATTTAAGTAAGTATTTTTCCACGAAGATTCACTATTTTCCCCAAGAAATAGTGAAATACATAGTCAAATTTTATTATAAATTATTTTTATTTATTAATGTCCTCTTCTACACACTTCAGCAAGTCATCCTCTTCCAGTCTGGTCTGCTCTAGATCCCCATTTGGTATAAGAGCCGTAAGCGTTGAAAGAGTCAGTTCCTAGTCTGCTACTCATCCCTCCCAAGTGGCTGGTTTAAGTCTTCTGAGTTAGCTAGTCTTTTAGTTATTCCTGAGTTTTATTCTTAGTTATCTAATCCCCCTTTGGTCCTTTCTCCCGAACCAAACAGTAAGTCCTAGAGTCCAAACAGTAAGTCCCGATGAGAGGCATGAGCGGTTGCGGCCTGAGTGGAGAGAGAGAGAGAGAGAGAAAGCCTTAGAATTCTGATACCTTTGAGTCAACCACAGGAGTCCCTATAGGTCTTCTACCTCTTAAGATTTAAGTCAAAATCTTGTAAGTATGAGTCATCTACTAAGAACCAACTTAGTCAATTCTTCCAGTTCTAGAGCCAATAATAGTAGAGTTCCAGACATAGTAAATGAAGAACAAGTAGAATTTGAGTCAACCAATGAATTAGATTATAAAGATTGGAATATACCCAGAGTCTCTAGTAAAGAAATTTACAAGAAACAATGGTCCCTTAAGTCATTCAAGTCAACCACCTAGGTTAAGACAGTCGAACAAGTCTATGCCTTAAGTAAAGAACATGAAACATGCCAATTACTTACTCTTGAGTCGATTAAGAATCATAGAAAAGATGGTAATAATTTCCTGCATATTGGATTGGTCCAAGTTGCAGTTAATGCTAAAATATGAATATGGGTTTTGAATATATTAGGTTCTTTTTTATTCTTCTCCATAAGGAGGTATATATAAGAGTTCACATGAGTGCTTTACAAGGAATTAGATCTAGTAAAGGATTAGGAAAATATCTCCTAATTATACAATGATTTGACAACTATATAAAATAGGAAAGTAAATCCCTTAATTAACCAAGGAAATAAATCTATAAAATAGGAAAGTAAATCTCTTAATTAATCAAGGAAATAAATCTCCTTGATTAATTAGGAGACTCACTTCAACACTCCTCCTCAAGTTGGTGCATATACGTCACAAATGCCCAACTTGGTAAGTGAGTCATGAAATTCGTAGCACCCAAGTCGATAATCCATGCAAATTTTTGAGAGGACGTATGAAAAGTAGAACATTTGGTGGTGTTGATAGAAGCACAAGTCCGGGTAGCTGGGTCAGCAGGATTGACTGCATGCTTCTGTGAGTCTTAAGATTCGATCAACTGCATTCCTATGAGACACATTGTGCCCATGTGCCATTCTGCTGGAGAGCTCGCATTTCTTCATTCATGGCTTCTTTCCATTTTTTTGTCTTCTAGTGCTTCAGTTACACTGTTGGGAACAGGTATGTCGGCTAACGGCTTCACAAAGTGTACTCGTGACTCTGATAATCTGTTGAGGGATACAATACATAATTGTTGATGGGATATTTCCCCTTTGCATTAAGATCTGCTTCGTAGTGAACTGGAGGTTTACCACGATTCTTCCTTTTTTTGGAATCTGATATGCAGGCTCTGTGCCTTCTGAATGACATCCTCAGCAGGTGATTGATGTGTTACTGGAGCTGAAGCGGGCAAAATCTCATAAGACGGTTCAATTTCCTCCTCCTGATTTTGACAGCGTGGAGAAAACTGATTGTTTTCCTCTAGTGACCAGTCGTTGGATTTTGGCGACCGGTCAGTTTGAAACAGCTTCTCTGACTACCAGTCGCTTTCCACTGGCGACTGGTACTTTTGAAGCAGATTCTCCATGTTCGAAGAACTACCAGGGGGGTCGCTTTCCACTGGCAACCGACCGTTTGATTTAGGAATTTGATTTGAGGAATTTGATGTAGGA